AGATTCCGACAAGTGTTTCAGTGACTCCGGGACAATGGACTCAAGCTCAACCAAGGAAAGTGTCGATTCCGAGAGAAACAAGTGTCGTTTCTGGGACATAAGATTGACGTGAAGCGAGGCGGTGACAGGAGCGCCAAGGCCAACATCTGTGAGCCAGCTAAAAATTCTTTCTGGGGCTAGTGACCTATTACGCGAAGTTTTTGCCTAACCTTTACACTACATTAGCTCCCTTGTATCGCGATTGCTGGCCAAGGGAACGCAATGGAAGTGGGGATGGAACAGGGAAGTGCCTTCCAGGAGACGAACCGTGCCATAACAGAGGCCGATTTTCTGGTTCATTACGGCCCTCAGAAACCGTTGAGACTGGAGTGTGACGCGCCACCCGACGGTCTGAGTACTGTCTTGTCGCATCGCTGCAACGGAAAGGTCCACCCGATAGCGTTCCGTTCAATTAAGGACACTGTCACCGGCTGAACGCAACTACTCCCAACTAGAAAAAGAGGGACTGGCGTTGGTATTTGGAGTGACAAAGTTTCGAGATTTTCTTTTCGGCAATCGCTTCACATTGGTGACAGACCACAAACCTTTGACGGCGTTGTTTCATCCGCAGAAAGCTATCCCGCAAATGGCGGCAGCCCGGGTCCAGAGGTGGGCGCTGCTCCTTACGGCATACAAGTACGACATCGAGTATCGGAAAGGACAGCACGACGGGAAAGCCGATGCTCTCCTTTGCCGGGGTCCACCGTGCCGGGGTCTAACGTTGCCCATGGAGTATGTGTTGTCTACACGCGGTTTGGATGACAGGCAGTGCACGTGGCAACCCTAACCAAGGACGACAAGAAACTTCGGCAAGTGAAGAGATGGATCCAGGGTGGGTGGCCGTCAAGGTTAAGCATAGAGGAGCAGCGACTATTGCCGTATTTTTCACGCAGAGACGAACTTTCGGTGAGCCATAATCTGAATTTACTGGGGCCATCGCCTTGTTCTGCCAGAAGCTGCGCAGACAGCAATGCTGAGGGAGCTGAACGACACTCACTCGGGAATCTCGGCCATAAAAAGTCTTGCTCGAATAGTCTTTTGGTACCCAGGATTAACCAGGTACATTGAGAAATAGGTGCAAAACTGCCCGCAGTGCGTGCAGTGTTTGCCGATGCCTGCGGCGCAGGTTCCTGCAAAATGGCCTGAGACCAACAAACGCTGGTGCCACCTGCACATGGATTTTGCCGGTCGAGTGGAAGGGTAGATGGTTTTCGTACTTGTTGATGCGGAGACAGAGTGGATTGAGGTCGTACCCATAAAGACAGCAACAGGGAAATCTTCGCGCGCTTTGGTTTGCCTCACACTGGTATCGGATAACGGTCCTCAATTTTCCAGTGGAGCGATGGCACGATTCCTACAGGGCAACCATGTGCGTCATCTGACAACAGTCCCATATCACCCACAGTCGAATGGGCTAGCGGAACGCGCGGTGCGCACTTTTAAAGAAGGGTTGAAGAAAAACAAGGAAGGCACCCTGCAAAACCGTATTTCGAAGTTCTTATTTCGATACAGATCGACGCCAACGAAAGACGGCAAGTCACCGGCAGAGAGGTTGAAGGGCTTTCAATTCAGATCGAGGTTGAGTGGCTACTTTCCAGGAGAAGAACAAGAGCACGTCAAGATCATCGAACAGACCTCGAGCACAAGGCTGCCACTTACTCCACAGGAATGCGCGTCTGGTTGCGACAGTTTCAACCAGGGCAAAGGTGGCTACCAGGGACGGTGATATCGACCGAAGGGAGGCGCATGGTCACTCTGGACACACCTGGTGGACAACAGCGGCGTCACCTTACATCGGGATTAACTAAAATATACCAACCATCCGCACCCGCCGCCCCGAGGAATAGAAAGTGTTTCCTTTTCGCACAAACAACAGTTTCCAGTCTGTTCCAGTCGCACAAACGCTACACACGCCCAGCAAGAGGCCGAAGGCCAGGTGGAGACGCGAGAGCAGGAGGAGCAGTCGACATCGGAAGATGGGGCCACTTCCGGTGACGTGTCTGACTACGAGCACGGTGACTTCGAGTCAGTTGAGGCGGCTACACACCCAGCATTGCCCAGGCGTCCAACGCGCAAGCAAAAACCACCGGATCGATTGAACTTATAGGGAGTATTCACTGGCGGCCATAGCTGTGTGCGCGAATGCTGAGCGCGTGCTGATGGCGAGCTTCCGCTGTTTTTTTCAACGTGCATTCCGCACCGTCAAAAGTGCCGGTCTTAGCAGCCTATTTATGTGAGCTCGTTCTGAGCATGCGCTCTAAACAGCACCCACAAATATGGCGTCTGTGAATACTCCCTATAGGGAGTATTCACTGGACGCCATATTTGAGGGCGATGTTTAAAGCGCATGCTCAGAACGAGCTCACATTAATAGCTTGCTAAGACCGGCAATCTTGATGGTGCGGAATGCACGTGGAGAAAGAACTGTGGAAGCTCGCCTTCAGAACGTGCTCAGCAGTCGGGCACACAGATATGGCAGCCAGTGAATACTCCCTATAAGGGGGGAGGGAATGCTACGTCAACGTAACCGGCACGTGCACTAGCGCCGGCCCGTGTGACGGGCAGAAACGGTATGCTACGTCACTGCAACACCGCCTAGCGCGCGGGTGCTCGCACAAGTCCACGAGACGACAGCCGGGGCAAAAACGTTCCAAGTTAGCAGCCACACCGGGGTCTCCAGTCGTCCTTTCCTCGGTTACCTCAGTTCTTGGAAAAATATCTTGGAAAATTTACTTTTACATCACCAATCAGTGACACTTACAATTTTTAGGCCGAATCGGCCTACATTCGGTTGAACGTAGGCCGGATCGTTTGGCGTAAAACAACCCAACATCAATGTTTTTTGTTGTTGTTGTTGTTGTTTTGTATCAGTCGTTTTAATAGCTTGTGAGATATTCCCCTACAAAAACATTCATCGAGAAAGAAAAAAAAATTTAGCGTGCGAAAGAGCCCGTCAAAGATCCGCGTCCTCCTCCCCCAATCCAGGCTTCTCTCTCCTTTGGTTTTATAACGTAAAAGGCAAAATCATTTTTTTTTTTTTTTTCAAAAATTTAGAGACGTCGCAAGTTGCAGGATTTTTACGACTTTTGCAAACGCACTACACCGTTGACTTCGAAATACAAAACTCCGAGCCCGGAAGTGTTATTGTCAAAGCTGCAACCGTCCCCCCACCACCCTGACTCACTAAATAAAACACTGCTAAAAACAAAATAATAAATTGAAGAGTGGCACATCGTTTGCACGCGGAGAAAGGACACATGCATGTGTCCATCAAAATGTGCGTGCAATTAACCGGTTGGTAGACATGAAGGGCACTTCTGCCAAATTTGCTTCCACTTTGAGGTCATTGAAAAAGGTAAGAGGTATATATATATATGTATATATATATGGTGGTTCAAGTCACCAGGCTCGATCGAAATTGGACCGTAAAAATCGACGCCTGCACGTAGCAGTAGGTGTATTGTTCGAACAATAGGGACTTTTCTTAGACCGCGTTTCCCCCTCCGCTAAGCCCTCCGCAACGAAGAAGCCGCTACTGCGCCTGCGCGCCGATAGCTTTGACTGTAGAGTTCCGGGTACCGTAGCGGGTACCCGGAACGATCTACGAAAACTCCCTATTGCTAGTATTTTTTTATTTTTTTTTGAGTACGAGCTGTTGAACGGCAGAACAGGCTTCGCAGACCTCTGCTGATTGGACCAGTAGATGCCGACACTGGTGGGTCCAATCTCAGATCAAGGGACTGTAATCCTTCAGATGAGGGGGTGTCTTTTGTGAACGTGAGCCCGAAGGAGTTCTTCTGGAAGACGCTTTCAATCGCTGCAGTATCTGAATTAGTGGAATGAAGGATAAGATAATCATCTACGTAGCTATAAGCCCTGGCTTCGGGAAATTCCTACTCAAGGTTTGATTGAACCTTGGTGTCAACGTGAAATATAAAGATTTCGCTTAGGATGGGCGCTAGGCTTTCACACCAGGGGTTTCCCCAGGATTCTAATCAAGGGGGGTGTCCCAATGGCTCGGGGGGGGGGGGGGGGGGGGGGGGGGGAGGAGGAGGAGGGGAGGAGGTGATGCGAGGCGAGGCTAGATAAAATATAAAACTGTTTCTTTTTTAGTCCACTATACTCGGCGACAACTTTTCTTGGCAATGCAGTGGAAGTGCAGTGGAAGGTACGTCCCCTGTCCCCTCTCCCATTTTGAGTGTACGCAGGCTCTCCTCCTGCGTACACTCAAAATGGGAGAGGGGACGCGGGGCTTACCTTCCACTGCATTGCCAAGAAAAGTTGTCGCGGAGTATAGCTAAATTCATACGTCTATTAACCAAATCTCATACCCGTAATGTATGTTTCCCTTTCTCTATATATACACTTGAGAGGTGGTGTTTTCTACTTAATCTGAAAAAAAAAAAAAAAATTTATTTTATTTTTTATTATTTTTTTTTTTTTTTTAGATTTAAAGGGGGGGGGGGGGGTGTCCAGGAAAACTAGGGGGGGTCTAGGGAAATCCCTGTTTCACACGATTACCAGTAACCTACGCGCTTCCCCGTGCCCCGTTGTTCGGCACCACCATGAATTGCAGAGAGAATTTTACGACAGTGTGAAATGCGGGACATGTTGAAGATTTCGAGAATTTCTCGCGGGACGCGGGAGTCCCGCGAGTCGTGGGGCGGGTGGTCACGCTAGAAGCACCTGGTGGGAAACCAAGCTACCGTAGAAAATGGTAGAAAACCTGTACTAAGACAAGCATATTATTCGGAACACCCGATAATATTCCATGGTTCATAATTAAAATATATTTTACTTAAAAAAACAACCAAGCTAGAGTATCACCATTGTGTGTGTGCGTGTATCATCGACACTGCCGACACTGCACTGTAGCTTGTAGAGATTGTCGGTACGCGGCGCGAGTCTCCACCTCATTCTGTGCGTTGAGCTACTAAGCGAGCGTCCGCCCGTTCATTCAAAACTCTCCCAGCGAGCAAGGGAAATGGCGGCGCCCAGCGAGAGTGCAGAAGCACGCTGCGTTGAACTAGGATTTCTTGAAAAGTGCGAACCTTGGGCGGTGAAGAGCAAGTACTTTCCAAGTAAAGTCGGCGGCAAACCGGCCTGGCTTCATCTGAAAAACATACCGGACGGTGAGCGCCTCTCCTGCCAAAACTGCGGCGAGCCGTGCGCCTTCTTACTCCAAGTCTATGCCCCTATTGACGACCTCGATTCGGCGTTCCACAGAACACTCTTCGTGTTTGTCTGTGTTGCTCCCGGTTGCTTGAATAAGAACAAGACGGGAAGTTTCATCATTTTGAGATCTCAGTTGCCGAGGATCAACAGCTTCTATGAGCAAGAACCGCCGATCGAAACCGAGGAGGGCTCCGATTCGCCTTCTGCCAGCGACTTCAACAAGTTGTGCGTCGTCTGCGGGGCTTTGGGAAACAAGACCTGCGCCAAATGTCGCTCTCGCAATTACTGCAGCAAGTCCCATCAAGTGACGGACTGGAAGAGTGGCCACAAGTCCCAGTGCGGCTCTCAAACGGACCACCCCGCGACATCGGCAACCGCGCGTGTCTTGTTTCCGGAGTACGAGTTGATCACCGAACCGGAGGACGAAGCCTGCGGTAGTCGCGCGGCGGACAAGAGCGACGAGCAGAGGCTTTCCGACTACCGCGCGTTCCTGTCGAAGAATCCAGAATGCTCGGACATCGATTCCACAGTGAATGCGAGCGATTTAAATAACATGGCGGCCACCTGTAAAGACAAGGCGTTCTGGAAATTCAAGAAAATCATCGAGATGGCGCCCGAGCAGGTTCTGCGGTACGACTTGGGAGGTTCGCCGGTGTTGGTGTCCTCCGAGGACAAGCCGAATGCCGTGCCGGACTGTTCCTGTGGATCAGAGAGGCAGTTTGAATTCCAAGTGCTTCCGCAGCTTTTGAATACCATTGCGGAATCGAACTCGGAGAGTCTAGACTGGGGAACTTTGATCGCGTATACTTGCAAGCGATCCTGTGATGGGGATAGGCCATACCTGAACGAGTTTATGTGGAAGCAAAACTTCTCGGAGCAGGAGTGATGCCTTTTGGGCTTCAATATAATTGCTCTGTAGCCTTCTCTGGTACGAATAAAAATATTAACTAAAACAGTATTTTTTTAAATATATATATATATATATATATATATATATATATATATATATATATATATATATATATATATACACACAAATTCATTGCAACCAGTCTTTACTGGAGGACACTAACCTGCTCATATAGTTTTGAGACTTACCGGTCCAATCTATTGTAGAAGAGACATGACATCTGAAAGTTTAAAGTTCTGTGACCCTAAAATGCCAATCCAGGGGTTTGATAAATCAAAAGCAGTGGGTTGTGTTTTGATGATAGGACGAATTTTCTTGCAATTATTTTTGTGGTTACATTTTTTTGTTGGTCAGTGGTGGATAAGTAAGTTCCCTACCGCCCAACTAGATTTTCTGTTATAGCATTGTTTGCTTTTGTTCCCAGGAATATGCTACTGCAAATTGTGCTCAGAACTGTTTTCCCTTTTGTGTGCAAAGGCTCGACTTAAGTTAGATTAGTTACAACTTTGAAATGCACATGCCCATGCCATTTGAATGTGTTAAATATGTTCGGCATGTGGCGTGGTGATGCCGCCACGCGCCGCGCCTCCCAAAACTCTTGCATGTGACTAAAATGGCCGTCACAAGTTGCTCGTTCGTCGTCTCCGTGGTCCGAACTGGCTTGCTTTGCGAAAATTTCCGCCGCAAATTTCATCAGACCTACCAGCATGACTTAAAGGAGCTGTGCAACAATTTCAGGGCTTTGCTTAAATTATTGTGAAAGTTGATGCCTTTCACTTCAGAAGTGAACTACAGAAAACAGATTTTGCCTGGATACCCTAGTTTTTATTTTAAAAAATGAAAAAGATCCAGGTTTTTGCCGCCTCTCAACTCATACGTCGTCTTACGGGTTACGTGCGCAGTGACGATAGAGTAGGCGCGGGGTTCCGGAAAAGTTCTCTCTTTAGAGCCATCAGTGAGCAGCAAGAACTCATCCGCTCGCGACCGCATGACCACGTGCTGGCGGGCGCCGCGCGAACAATATGGTGAAAGGAGGAAAGTCCCATCCGGGTCCGGCCATACCCGTCCGGCCCTGTCCCCCTCCCCCTTTGGCTTCTGGCAGCTGTTCGCGGTAGCAGAGAGAGCCGACGGTTTTGTGGACCTAAGATAGTTGGCGCCACTAAAACTCCGTGTAACGAAAGTTTTGTCGATGATACCAGGTTTTTGATGCATTTATATATATGTTGGAACGACAAGATTTATAGAAAAGTTACCTTTTATCGAGCAGATATTCGCACAACTTGCTATCTTTCTACAAGATTCCCCATTGACGTCACGCCGCGTGTTTCTCATGGACACCACTCGCAGCTGCAGGTCGGGAAATATTCTAAGTTTGGCCTCGCTATTACGCAGCGGAATCGCAACATTTCGATGAAAGGAGGTGTGTTTTCTGTCATTTGTGACAAGTGAACAATATCAAAAGCAGAAGATGCCAATTCTTTCAACGTTAAAATCGTTGCACAGCTCCTTTAAAAGAATACAGTGTCCATCAGCATCCTCCTATCCGCCCTATTAATTTTCTATGCTGCATATTACAGGCGCCGAACAGATGACGTGCTATGCCAGTGGCCCTAGCTGATCCTCGACGGCCTGCTCAAGGCCGAAAGGTGCGAAAGGCAAGTTTCGGTCGATCCGAAAACAAGGCTAGCCTTTGGGGATCAAACACTGCCTCGAATTTTGTGTCGGGGCTTATCATTCAGAACTCTAACCTGTTTGGCGATTTCGAGCCCCCCAAAGATCCGGAGCACACTTCTCCAAGTTTTTACGTATTACTTCTTACATGGAGTGGCAGTCGAGTATGTTGGTTTTAATGGTTTATTGTTTAACTGCCTTACTGCCTCGCTAAGCTGCTGGTGTGATCGCTGGCTTGGAACATAACACAGTGCCATGCTCTCTGATTGGTGTGAGGATCGTGGTGCATGGCAAAAAACGGAAAGGAAAGAGAAGCGATAAATTCTTTGGAAAATTTAGAGGCAATCTGCTTGTTTTGTGTTACTTTTTGCTTTATGGCTTATCTGGCACGCCTTATGCAGCGACCGGGACAATGAAGGAAAATTGTCCTTTAATTATTCCTTTTGTGTTTTTGCTGTGATGAGGATTTTTTTTTTTCTTGTGTTTTGGAATTCATAGAAGTGGTCTTTTTTCCTCTTCCAAATGACTTTGGTAGTGTCACTATCCTCGGAGCACATTGGATAAGAGAGATGAGGGAATTTATTGAGGCATTCCTTATTGCAAGCCAGGGGAAGCGGTGCATCAGCAAACCTTCGTGGCTTTATCAGAAAAGGAGGTTGGGTTCCTAAGATGCCTAAGACTGGGGTGGGCTACCTTTTGGGGATGGGTCACTTCTCATGATGCTACGGTAAGCCATTTTTGCATCCTCGGCAAAAATTCTTGTTTGCAGTATAACATTGGTATTGTTAGGAATGGGAAGACGACAACGGGAGCAAATAACGAAGGCCCTGCCTTTATAAATCCTTTCTGCGCTCTATCATCTTGTACTGTCCTGTCCTTTCTGCTGCCGACAGCATCATCCTAACAGTATGGTGACAACCTCCGCCAACTTTTTTTCGAGCATCTAAGAATACAGACGTGTATCCACAAGTTATTGAACTGAACTAGCATTAGATAATTGCCCATACATAATTTGACCATAATTCCAACTAAAGTTTTGCCTCGGATGTTTCTTGGGGAGAGTTGTGGGCAGAGTCACTCTCTACAGCAGTGCATGGTTGTCGTGACTGCTCCCGGTTGTTGTAGTAATTCTGTTTAATTCTAACATTGCAGGAACCCTCTTTGCCAACGGGGAGACGGCATTGGGAAAGACTTCCACCATGGGGGGCATGGAAGTGTTTAATATCATTGAAAAGGTGCGTTCATTCGCTTAGACACTTTCCAGCATGCATGTTGGGGTCGTTCGACTTTAGTCCCATTTACACGGAGCATTTGCTCGTTTGCTTGTGCAAACGAGCAAACGAGGTTGAACGTTAGGCTATGATGCGATTTCGAATCACCAGGTCACCAGGTTATCCAGGTTTTGCAGGGGTGGATCCAAAACTCTGTTTTTTTTTGGGGGGGGGGGGGGGGCTGGAATTCTTTTTTTTTTTTGTGTGTGTATGTGTTCGATTGGGGTTGGGGTCTAAAGTAAGACAAACAGGACTCCGGTTGTGCCTTTTGTTTTAGCCGCCACAGAACCACACTGCGCCGACAGCCCCTAGATGTGCGCCACTGCGCCGACTTATTGGCTCCAAGCCGTGCTTTGAAACCAACGCCGCGGACATCAGTGTCGGTTGTAGCGATGGAGTGGTTCTCCAAGTTCAGAGTACAAGTGTGCCTGCTAGGGTGCGACCTACCCTATTTTGAACCCTCGTCCTTGAGTACCGAGCCTTCTACCACCTGGCAGGTCAGTAGTCGGTTTTTCTTGGGGGGGGAGGGGGGAGGGGTCAAATTTGTTTGGGGGGGGGGGGGGGGGGGGGGGGCCGCCCCCTCCCCCCTTTTGGATTTTCCCCTGAGTTTTCGTATGTTGCGTGCAAAGCTACTCCTCGAATTGGTTGCCGCGCTTCATACGGTGCACGGATGGTAGTAACTGGGTTTTAGGCAACGTCAGCTCCTGCAACGTAATGTCGCGCAAGTAAACAGCCCTCGGTGAACTGACCTTTACCCTCGTGATTGCAGGAATATGCGACCCTTGCTTGCTCGATTTGAGGACGAAATATACCTTGGAAAGCTCCCCTAGCGATACACCAGAGAGACGAAAGGTGCGTACAGTCTATGGGAACCTTTCCTGTTTATACCTGTACCCTGTTGCAGGTTAAGAAAAACAGGAAAAGCTCCCCCCCCTGCAATAAAGTATTGTATAATGTTGTTGTTGCTTAGAACGTCTTTAATAGAGTAAAAGGGTACGACTTGGCCGGCTGCAAGCCTTGTCGAGAATGGGTAGGGGAGTGAGTAGCTAGGAGAGGACCTAGCTTCATCATCATCATCATTTATTTTTCCTTGAGGGCCGAGGGGCATTGTACAAAAAAGTGAACACTTAAAAAAAATGGCTGCAGCAAATTTATTAGTGTCAGTTATGGAAAAAATTTGGTCCGGTAGTCCGTTCCAGTCGTCAATGGCCAATGGTAAGGTTGTCATTTGATGAGAGACGGCCGATGTTGAAATCCGACGGAGTTTACAAAAATGGTCGAATTGAGGAAAGATAGGGTGAGAAGGCAATAGCAAACATTGTCTGAGATGATTGTCGTGATAAAAGATCCGATGGAGGAGAGAAAGACGAGACACCCTGCAGCGGCGAGGAAGTGTGTCAGGTTAGCTGATTGGCGAAATCCTCTTATGCTAGCATATGAGGAGTAGTCTGAATAAAGAAAAGGGAGGGCTGTGCTTGGAACGGATTCCAGACTGTTAGGTATGCCTGCCACGGCGACTACATGGAGAAAGCGAATTCTAGTTTAGTTCCGACCAAGGTAGTATAGTATAGTTTTACTGGGGATGTAGCTTCTTTGATGCTACAGCAAAGAAATCTGAGAGTATGCTTAGCATTGGCGATGACAGATGTTATATGAGTGGTCCTTGACAGGTCAGATGTCAGATGAATCCCTAGGGTTGTTTTTTTATTTATTTATTTATTTGGTACTTTTGCGGTGTCAATTGGGATGAGCAACTGGTTACTGGGATGCTAGAAAGATGGTAAGAGAAGGATAGAACATCTAAACTACGGGAAAACGATAGATTTATATTTACTGTAAACGACTTAATTTTCGTGAGGACCTCATTTTAGCGAATTTCGCAAGGTCCCGTGAACAATTCCAGTAAAATGTAAACACATTGGAATTTATATTGAGATCCCTCTGGGTTGCACAAATTATAACCCTTGAATTAGACCTAAATTGTGAGATATTGAGGCCACAAAAAATAGGTCGTTGACAGTATTATAGTTTTATGCCATTTGCCATTTCTGACACCACTAAATTATAAGTGAGAGATCATTCTGCAAAATTAGTTGATTGTGATGTGAATGAATTGGTCTGTGTATTGCACGGTCATCGGCGGACAGACATGCTGCAGAAGAAATGTCATGGTGGAGATCATTAATGTAGATTGTAAAGAGGAAAGGGGGCCAAGAACTTCCCTGAGGGATGCTAGACATTACCATACTTGTGGTAGAGTTTACTTTGTTAAAAGGCCACTGAAAAGAAATGTTTTTTTTTAAACAGTCTGGTTGGGACACGTCTATCAAAAAATTAATTTTATGCGAAAAAAAAAAAAAATTTTTAGAGCACTATTGACCACCGAGACGCTATTTAGTGGGTAGTCACATCCTTTCCATTTGTTCTTTCTCTGGGTATTTTGGGCGCATGGAGGAGAGGTGGATCGGCTTGGCCACCACGTCGAGGTGGAGAGAGTGTATGACCGTCTCGTTGAGGCGTAAAGAGTGTATGACCATTCCATGACGTCATGAACTTTGCGTGCAGAATTTATAATAAATATCGCGCCATCCATATTGCTCTAAAAAAAAATATATATTTGCGCTTAAAATTTTTTTCTGTCATGCGTGTCCCAATCAGGTTGTTTAAAAAAAAACTTATTTTTTTTGTATTTTCAGTGGCCCTTTAATAGAAGTGTACTGAGTGTGGTTAGTGAGGAATTCAATAATCCATTTGACTACAGAGGGGTCAATATTAATATAGCTTAGTTTCATTAGAAGACGTTGATGAGGGACCTTGTCAAATGCTTCGCAGAAGTAAAGAAAAATGGCATCAATTTGAACATTGGAATCGACATTGGAGTAGACGTCAGTTAGGAATGCTGTTAGTTGAGTTTCGCATGAATATGTCTGATGAAGTCCGTGTTGATGCTTAAAAAGAAGGTTATGAGAATCTTAGAGAATCTATTATGTTTGAATAAAGAATATGCTCTATGAGTTAATTAAAACGCTGGTGAGTGAGATTGGAGGATAATTACTGATTATTTGGCAGTCGCCTGTTTTATGAACGGGTATGACGTTAGCAATTTTCCAATCAGATGGAACTTCAGAGAGTTTTAAGAGACTGAGGGAATATGCCACAGAGGAAAGCGGAAGAAACATGTTTAGTGTTTATTAATACTTTAGAGTTAATTGGTTCATCTCCGGAGCTAGAGGACATTTTCAGGCGATCAATTGCCTAAAGCACTCCAGAGCAGTCAATTAAGATAGGATCTATAAGAAGGTGAAAGTGTTTGCACGAGTTGGGAATGTCTGGCAATTTTTCGTTAGTAAAGATGGAGCAGAAGAAATTGTTAATACCAAGAGCGCTGTGTTCATGTGAAAGCAGAAGCTTGTCATCATATACAAATTGAAAGGGAAGTGATAGTGCCAGATTCATTATTTTCCAAAACTTTTTTTGGTTTGATGGTTAGAATGTTTCGAAGGTCGTGACTAGAGAATTTGTGTTTGGCGTGAATAATGGCGGATTTGTAAGCTCTTGTGCATTTCTGATAGGTGTTCCAAGAAGCCAGAGTGTTAACAGCCTTAGCCCGCGCATAGTCTTTTTTTTTTTCTGTTGGGTTGACTATGAACTGTTTTATTGTACCAAGGGTTACTGTTATCAGATCTAATGTGGGTTAGTGGAATGAAGCATTCGATTAGATAGACCAGTTTATCTTTGTAGAGTGTCCAGTTTTCGTTGACCATTCTTTCCGTGAAGTTAACTAAAAAAGTCTGATAAAAATCTTCGAGGTTCAAGTTGATAGATGCTTAGTCGGCTCTCACATGATTGCGAATGAATTTGCAGTAATGTGATTTACGAGGAGCAGCGAGAGAGAGAAAGTTAAATCGATGACAAGATGGTCATTAGTGCCGGGTAAGTGTGTAAAGTTACTGAAGAGTGAGGGGTCTTGACTTTGACACAAGTCCAGTATATTGCTGCAGCGATTAGTGATCCTAATGGGGTGAGTGATAACATTTGAAAAGTTAATATCTGACCAAAAGTCTATAAATTCTTGAGAAAATGCGCAACTAGAAGAGAGGATAGACCAGTCAATGTTAGGGTAATTGAAATCACCAAAGAGAGTAGTAACAAAGGACTTAGGGTATTTACTTGGGATTTCAGATGGACACTTGCATAGCTCCGTAACAAATTCTTTGTTGCTATCTGGTGGCCCGTAGCACACCCACTATTATGGGAGGCGTCGTAGCGGGGTACACCCAGACAGTTTCCTATTCGGTAAGGAGCGGCATAACCAGGAATTTGGTCTTTTATAGCCAAAAGACGTGACATATCATTCGTCATGTTCACTCAGGTACTTTGGCCGTTTGTGGCAAGTTGGCTGGCATGTTTTTCTCACGTGTCAGGACGGTTGTAGCAGTTGTTTTTGCCTCCTTCCTGTTGAACGGGCTGAAAACATATTATAGCTTTATGATAAGCACACACATAACAAAAGGCAAATGATGTTGCTTAAAGTGAAGCCTATCCATGTACAGAGTGCGGCACAAATAGGGGCGGCCCGGTGGCGGTAGAGGCGGCACTGTCGATTGTAATGCCATGTTTTGGGGCGGTGAAAACATGAACCCTACGCTTGAGCGCAGAAAGTGCGCCCTAATGAAACATAGATGTTAACGGCTGTACCTGTCCTAATGGCCAAGGTGGACTATTAACATATGAGAGCCCAACTACCCAGAAAACAATTCGCAGCTCGAAATTCGTTTCCTCTCCATCCGAAAACCGCCGATCGAGAACTGGCTGGTTTGAGTCACACTCACTCTTTTCTCCGTGGTCACGTGCCATTTTCTATGGTTTAGGCACAACCACCAAATATAATCAAAGCCATGGGTCATCGAAGGCACACGCACAATACTAAAAATGGAAAAGAAATATGATGCCCAGTTTTTGTGGCTTCTAAAAAGCTCCAAATACGTTGATTGGAAAGAAAAAGTTGCCCAGCCACGTGACTTCCACCAACTCTCTCCTTCTCTATATTTCTTCTTCCTCACCAGTCCAGTTTCGGTATGGAGCAGTTGCGTTTTTTGTACTTGATTAAAAATCTATGTGACGCTGTAGCAAAATATTGATTGGATAGTCTTTTGACACTATAATAAATCGCCTGGCAAAAAGTAAAAAATAAATTTTTGGGGTTGTCAGTGTCCCTTTAATGAGGTTAAAAATTTTCTACATCTTCTGAACACGAACCTCGGGAGGTTCGGGGCATCCTTAGTTAAAGGCCCTGGTTGTGGTGTTCCCACTTGCTATTGCGCTTGTGCCCCTCTTGTCTCGAGTCCTAGTTTCACTGTTGGTTGGCTTGTTGCAGGTGCCTGACAGGGAGTCCCTGCTGCGGACCTCCTACATGGAGGTCTACAACTAGAAGCTGCATGACCTGATGAGAACGTTGAACGGCTCCTACTTCCAAAGCCTGCAGCTGAGGGAGAATTCGGCATGCCCTTCCTATTTATTTGGTGTGTATTTTTTGTTCTTTTTTAACAGTCTTCAGCTAAGTGTGCAGTATCAGGGTGGTAAACCTAAATGTTTTTTTGTTCCGGTTCAGAAAAAATGTTACAGGTCAGGCTCAGCTCCGGAGTAAAAAATTTGCAGTTCATACTGGTTTGAATCGCTTCAAATGTTAACAGAAAAGTTGAAGATGGTAAGAAAGAAACCATGTTTATATTTATCGAGACTTAAACTATTAATAGGGCAAAGTAGAAAAATGTTCATATAAATTGTCTGGAAGAGACACAATGACCCCTTTTTGGGCTGTGCCGGTTGGGCACTTCAGGATCACAATGCCGACCCAAGTGGAAGCTCACGAGTTTTCATGTCGCGAATAGGCGAAGGTTTTCGTGCACTAAATTGCGTTTCAAAGTTCTAGAAGACCCTTCAGTTGTTCAACCATACGACTGAGTTCCTAAGACCGAGAATGATACCTAAAATTATGAAAATAAAAAATATGTATGGGCAGTTTCATTTGTATTCAGGCAGTAGAAAACAATCAAAACATTTTTTTTTTTTACAGCGGAGCTGTTTAGGGCTAGTATCCCCAGTTTTGTGTCTGTCACCAAATAAATGTCGACACATAACTCTGGACAGCTACCGCCATCTATGAGCGACGGTGGCAACCAGATAACCGGTTGTCTGGTTGCCGCCATTGCTCATAGATGGCGGCAGCCTTTCCAGCCTTTCCACTCTAATTTTCATCGGAGTGGAAAGGCTGAATTTCTCTAGGCGGCGTCCTAGAAGTCGTCCTCAAGGACGACGTCCTCTAGGCGTCGTCTTTGAGGTCGTTCTAGAAGTCGTCCTTGAGGTCGTCCTAGACGTCGTCCTTGAAGTCATCCAAGAGGTTGTCCTCAAGGTCGTCCTAGAAGTTCTTCTTGAGGTCGTCCTGGCCGTCGTCCTAGACATTGTCCTCGAGGCCATCCTAGAAGTCGTCCTTAAGGTCGTCCTAGATGTCGTCCCGGAGGTCGTTCTAGGCGTTGTCCTTGAGGCCATCCTAGAAGTCGTCCTTGAGGTCATCATAGATGTCGTCCTTGAGGTCATCCTAGACGTTGTCCGCTAGGTGGCGTCCTTGAGGTCGTCCCACCATAGCACAGCTTCGCTGGTCTTCCTTTACCAGAGTGAAAAGGCTGAAAGTTTTTTTTCAAATTTTTATTTTTTGTGGTACTTGAACGTCAATGCTTTACATCAAGATTTGTTCAGACGTGTGTTCCTTCGATTCGCGCTTTATTTCGAACTGTTAGCGACAAATCCTCTTTACTTTTTAGAGTAATCAATATATATCTAGTAAGACAATAGTAAAATACAGATACGTTTAGTATTAACGGGACACTAACAACCCCCAAAATATTTTTTCCTTTTTTGCCAGGCAATTCAATATGGTGTAAGAAGACTACCTTATTAATATTTTGCTACAGAGTCACTTATATTTTTAATAAACCCTAGAAACGTAACTGCTCGAAACCAAAACCTGCGCATGGAGGTCAGAGAAATATAGAGGAGAGAGAGTGCGGAAAGTCAATTGGCTACACTCGATCGTGCCTTTTTTTTTCTCCGTTTTTTGGGGGGGGGGTTGCGCACAGTTGACGACACGACAGCGTTGCGGGTACCATTTGTCGTCCGATTGCTTTGCAGTCCTGTTCGTTCCGCTCGCTGTTCTGCCTTCAAGATGAGTTGTTTTGTACATTGAAGAGTTGGAAATGAGTAGTGAGTGCCTGTGGTAAATGCCCGTGGTAAATGCCCGTGATTGGCTCCGGAAAGAATGCCCCCAAGATGTTGTGTGAAGAGCTGCCTCACAGGTTCTGCATCCGAAAGTGGCATTGTGCGGCAGACTCTACTCAAGTTTCTGAAAGATCAACTGGATCGGGACCAATGGCTGGCTGCAATTCCTGCAAAACAGTTACGGGCACCTCAGAGGTGGAAGCTACCCGATTTAAATGCTCCTTTGCATTTTGTGGAAAGTGACAACATTGAGTTCACAGGTGTCAAAAAGGAAGTCCCATACCATTTAGTTCAGCGACGTTTCGTCCACAACATTATTTTTTTTTTTTTTCAGTGATATTTGTAAAAAAGAAATGCTTAAATATTGCAAAATGTTTTTCAAAAAAAAAAAAAAAAACAGAATGCCCATTCTGTGGATCGAACCTGGGTCTGCTGCGTGTGAAGCGGACCCCTTTCCACTGAGCTACTCTACAGTTTTTAATAGCCGTTTGACAATTTGTTTTATACGAGACCCAATAGGGGACAACTGCTGGCAATTTTTTTCCTGGGTTGTGCCGGCTTTTGGCAGAGTATCCACCTCCTAACAACTTAGACTTGTGGATGTCCTTGGGCATAGGCAGCTTCCTATCGTGTAGCTTGAAGTACGTTAGTTTTAACATCGTAATGTTCAGGCAGACGAGGGTTACTCCTCGTTCGTATTAATGTAGCCGGTCATCTGTAGGTCGGAAAGTTTGCTGCCAATTGTCCTGCAACAAAGGCATTCCCCAGGCTCGAAGTTGGGCAGCACCACGCATTGGCCAGATTCGCTTCTAGTAAAAAAATCATACTGACGCATATTCAACTCGAAGTACGCACTTCGTGCTTGACGTTTGCACGTTTTTCAAGCTCTTACCAATGCGTGTTCGTAAGACGAGCGATGTGTTCATCCACCAAAAGGGCCAATGACTTGGCGATGTCTTTGTGCAAATCGGCTTGGTGGTCAGGCGTGCCGTACGGAATGAATCTTAATTATTTTGATCGGTCCAAAATGTCTCTTTCGAAGGAAGACAAATTCGCTGGTACCGCGAACGAAAGTTCTGAAATAGAGGTCCCATGCCCGTCGTCCGCCACCATCGCCGTTGTTGACCGCCGTGTTGAGAATTATGCAGTGAACGCACAGAATGCTTCCAATTCTCTGTGCAACTTTTTTTTTTTTTTTTTTTTTTTTTTTTTGATTAACATATTTGGAGTTTTTTTGAAGCTCCAAAAGATTGGTTTCATATTTTTTTCTATTTTTAATATTGAGTGTGTGCTTTCAATGACCCACGACTTTGATTAAGGTTGGTGGTTGTGTCTAAACCTTAGAAAACGGCCCTTGGTCACGGAGAAGACACTGAGCGCGACTCAAACTCGCCAGTTCTCGATTGGCGGTTTTCGGACAGAAAGAAACCGAATTTCGAGCTGCAAATTCTGTTCTGAGTAGTTGGGCTCTCATGTCATGTACAACTAAAAACCTCGGCGAGCATACATACCCTGTCAGTGTCCCTTTAACAGCCTAAAATCTTATTAAAATTTCCAAACATGCCTTTGTAAACAATTTTGCCAAAAGCTTCCATTTTTCTTTCCAAGTAGGATTTTTTAGAGTATCAGATTCAAATCAATGCCACTTACAATACATGTCGTTGCCTTGCAAACAATCTATACCGTAAAATACCTGGGGAGCGCCCACATCTCTTTCACTGAAAATTTGGTTAATCTAGACATGGGCAGTTCTCCGGTCAAATCAGACTCTTAAAGGGACACTAAAAGGGTATTTATGCTTGCTAAGGTTTTTATTTGTGCATGACATATGAGAGCCCAACTACCCAGAACACAATTTGGGGCTCAAAATACATTTTCTTTCTGCCTGAAAATTGCCGATCGAGAACTGGCCAGTTTGAGTGGCGCTCACTCTCTTCTCTGTGGTCGCGCGCCATTTTCTATGGTTTAGACACAACCACTAAATATAATCATTTGTGGGTCATCGAAGGCACACACTCAATATTAAAATTTGTGGCTTCTCAAAAGCCGCAAATTCGTTGATTGGAGAAAAAAAAGTTGCACAGCCACGTGACTTCTGCCAACTCTCTCCTCCTCTATAGACGCTTTCAGCGAGTCAGTTACCCGAGCTGCCACCAGTCGGCGCGCCCTTCGCGCGCTTTCCGGGCCGCCATAGCCGACCGGGCTGCTATGGCGGCAGGGTCACGTGACGTCAAGATGGCGGCGCCCATGAAATGTTGCCTGAAAGGGTGTATATTTCGTCTTCCTCCCCAGTCCAGCTTTGGTTTCGAGCAGTTGCGTTTTCTGACTTTATTAAAAATATATGTGACGCTGTAGCAAAATAATGATTGGTTAGTCTTCTGACACCATAATGAATTGCCTGGTGCAAGATAAAACAAATATTTTGAGGGAAGTCAGTGTCCCTTTCATGTATAATTTGCAGAACTCACCAGTTTGAGAATTTTAATAGTGGGCGCTTCCGTGGTATTTTACGGTTGTTGTTTTTTATTGTTTGTTTATACATACTGAGAAGTGGCGCGACGACAGGAGATGAGATCAAAATCTCTGCAAAGTGTCACCCATAAAGCTATCGCTTTAAAACTTGGAAACCTCCGGACACTTTAGCTGTGGCAAAACATGAGGCGTACCAGTTGTAGCCAGTTCTCAAGGTTACAGCGCCCCCTTGTGTCGAAAGTGGGAACCACACGGAGCGAAAAATGATGGCGCAGTATGTTTTCAGTGCAACAATGGGCACTCACGCATTTTGAATGCTACGATCAGCTGTAAAAGTGCTTTAACAGTATGTGATTTCGAATACACACTGGGAAATTGAAGGTTAAAGGGGTACTCTGGCGATTTTTTGAGCTATACCTCAACTAACTATATTTTCGGAATCACTGGCCTTTACCCTTTCTGGTATGCTATTTAGTATCGCGAAATTCTGAATAGTTATTGTGAGATCGGCAAGTGAAAATGATGCGAAAACCAACATCAAATATGCTCACACTTTTCAGTGCCGTGACTCCAGTGGAAGGCAGACTTGCAGGTCGAGCGGGCAGTCTAAAAATGGACTATGCCGAGCATTTGTTTCGTGCTGCTGCGCGGGTGCTGGAGCGAGCTTCCAAAGCATTCATTTGATGCCATAAAACTGCTTGTAATCAGTTGAGAACAATGTCTACAGTTCAAAGAGTGAACCCCTACCTTCTGCTGACACCAGTTTTTCATTGTTGCCAGAGGGGAGACTTTCACAGTAAATTCAATAACTTTGCGAAAAGTTTTTATTTTGGCCCAATATTTGGGTTACTATTTCAGCAATGTTTGTTAATGTGTTTAGCAAATTTTCAGGAAAATCAGGGACTATGAAGAGAACACCAGAGTGCTGTACTGGTGCACCTTTCTTTTTGCGCTCATTCAGCAGTTTAACTTTAACCGTCCTTTTTTCTTTCTTTTTTCTGTTCTCCGGTAAGCATTTGAGTTTGAGTTTGATGATCTTAATCAGTTTCCATATATAAACATTCGCTTGATCGATTTATTTAATAAATTTCAAGACACTGTAGTGTCGAGACCAGTTCTAACGAAATAGCGGCTACAGCGAAACAATCACAATTTCCCATTCCCGTTTGCACTTTTTCAATGCATTTGTGTCCGTTTTACAACGAAGGAAATTAAGCGGCTCCCGCGGATATAGCGAAGAGAAATTTTGTGATAATATGAAAAAAGATTAAAATTTGGAAAGTTTACTAAGTCTCGGACCGCCGCACTTTGCTGCCGAGGCCAAGGAGCCACCCAGAACAGGCTGCAGAAGATTCTAGAATGGCCGTCGGCGGCAGTCTCTGCAACGTCGTCTGCTCCCCGTTTATTATCGGGAAGCGGCTTTATCGCATCACACACGGAGAAGCCTTCGTGGCATGCCGGTAGGGGCGTTCGGAGCGCTCGACAACGTACTGGCGGAGATGACGGAGAGAGCCTAGATTTAAGAGAGGGAGCAGTAAGTAGGCCTGCATTTGATTGTCGCGTGGCCAGTGTGGCGAGGAAACTGGGCGGAGAGACGGACATGTGTGCAGAAGGTGATTGCTTCTGAGTTTTGACTCCTCGCATGCTGCGGCTCGTTTTACAAACGCGGCTCACAAACCACGTGACCCCAATCGAGCAGTTGCCCCATCTCTTAAATCTAGGCTCTCTACACCGATGACAGACAAGCTTGAGCGCAGACTCAGTACCGTGCGCGCTTCTTTGTTTGCTTCATGATTTGTGTCGGCGTCTGGTCGGTGAGGTCGCTCTTACGCGAAAGTCTACTTCGCTCAAGCACCGATTCAGCGAATCATCGCCACTCTACGATAGAGAGTCCCGGCACTGCCGACACCTCGACGGGGAAGACGAAGGCAATCTCTTTGAATCAAAAGCGTGCTGTCCTCGACAGAGTGTGCATAAACGTTAAGAATGCTGTCCACCGCCGGCGTCCTCCGCGGGGCCGTCGCAGCTGTCCACACGGTCCGTATGTTGCAGGATCTTTTTTCGGTTGGAGCTTCTCGCAGTTGATGAGAAGCGGCTCGGATCTAGCAAAGTACGCATGCAGGGAAGCCTCGACCGCTTTCTGCAGGCTGAATAAACATATGCCCTTGACAGCCCGTGTTATCTTTTTTTTTTTTTCATGTTATTTGTATGAGTTCATATATAACGAAGAAGCGGATATAGCGAAGCGATATCTGATTCCCGTTGACTTCGTTATTACCGGTCTCAACATTATACCATGCTTGGTCCCATGTGTCTGCATGCAGTTGTGGCGGGCGACCTAACCAGTCCCAGCAGAAGACAGGAAGGAACGAGGGAATGCTCGAGACCGAGGCAGCATACCGGTGTTCGGATATCTCGAACGTCTTATTGTTTACATAGCTTCTTGTATATAGTTTGTCTGCTGTAAAATAAACGGAAGGAACCTTCGGTTTCTTCACAGTCTTTCAAGTGCTTCAATTATGTTCTTATGGTAGCCAGTTAAATTCAGTTAATTTATTTCAGAACAAAGGTTGGGGCTTTTCACGTATGAGACTATCGCAGACAGCTCGAGAATGCCTGGGGTCCGCAGTATGTGATGCCAAAAAGAAGCAGTGTACTTATTTGCCAACGATTGTGTTAATTTACAAACCTATTCATTCACTCAATGATCAACAACTTTGCAGAACAATCTCTCATTAATAACTCGTGGTGCCAAAAATGGCAAATAGCTCTAAATTTTGATGAATATAAATTCCTCTCGTTTTCACGCCATTCACTTAATACGTCATTTCTATATCACCTTGCTATCACTCCAGTGAAGCCTTGTTTATCGTGTAAATATTTGTGAATCCATTACTTGTGATCTTCCATGGACAACTCATATACAAGGGGGGACGCAGAAGTAACCGGAATGAATTTCTGGAGGGCACGCCGTTCGTAGTACCAGTTTCCGCCGCTAGTAGCGCTTAACGGCACCCCTTCCGAGTCAGTTTACCGATTTTCGTCGTCTGCTAAAGTTGTGGCGGCATGTTGAGAATTTTTTCCCCAAGTGCTTCAAAATCATTCCTTGTTTTTTGCTATGTCTGATTTAAAGGAAACGCGTGCAGCCGTGAAATTCTGTTTTCTTTAGGGAAAATGGTGGCGGAAACTCTTGTAATGCTTCAGACAGCTTATAAAGAAGATGCTATGAAGGAATTGCAGTTCTATGAATGGTTGTAGCATCCAAGAATGCAGAAGTTCGTCTGCTAGTTGTTGAGCTAAAGTAGCCTTAGATCACTGCTCTTACATAATTTGATCACGATTCCAACTAAGGTTTTGCCTGGGATGTTTCTTTGATAGAGTTGTGGGCAGAGTCGCTCTCTAGAGCAGAGTGTGGTTGTCGTGATTGCTCCCGGTTGTCGTTGTAATTCCTGGTTCATTCCTCCATTGCAGGAACCCTCTTGGCCTACGGGCAGGTGGCATCGGGAAAGATTCAAACCATGATGGGCACCAAAGTGTTTCATCGAAAAGGTGTGTTTGTTCGCCTAGACACCTTCTAGTATGCATTTTGAGGTCGTTCGACTTAAAGGGGCAGTGTAGCGATTCTCACATTTTGGTCAATTAAGTGTGGTAATTGTTTTCTTGCCCAATACTATAAAGAACAGAAAGAAGAAAAAAATTTTCATGCGTGCGCTAGTTTTTAGAAAAGAAAATGAAACATATTGAGAGTCGGGGCACACCTCAACTCACACCGTCTTTCGATTAAGTTGCGCAGTGACGTCCCTCTGAGTACTACGTTCGGTTCTATCTTTGGGGCCCCCAGTCTAGAGCACAGGCCCGGGCCGCAGGCTCAGGCTTGAACGATAAAATTTCCGGGCCATGCCTGGGCAGTCCTTTGCCGCAAATTCTAAATTGTTGATAACAAGACGTGTCCTCATCGGTCTTTTAGGTTCAACGAAAACAAACAAGCAAAGTGTTGAGTCACTACGGCGCCATTCAAAAAAAAAAAAAAATCACAAAAAGATGTTTTGCATTTGGAAAGCCTTCAATTGGACAAAAGGAAACACTCCACCAGCATAGCGGGAGAATGCACGCTTTATGCTTAGACAGTTTTTACGTTAAAGCCTGCAAACCTTTTTGGTCTCAAGTTTTTGAGCCCAAAAGTTTTTTTGGGCCGCACCTGCTTTGTATCATTGTAAGGTTGTGGCGAGTGATTGAGACAAACGACGCTTTGCCACAAGACAGATGGAGAGGATGGCCATGGAGAGAAAATGGTTTTGTTGACTTTGATAAAGCACCACGAAAACCTGCGTACTCCAAATGGCATCACACCGTAGTTCCAATAACTGTCACATGTAGCTGGAAATTGGGAAACAATGTGTTTTTGGCTTTTTTTTAATGTGAAAGCATTAATTGTCTCATTGAGCGAAGCCGGTTGGTGTCTGTAGCAGCAAAAAACGGCACCTAAATTCCGATTTTCCATTGGCTGAGCGAAACGGCACCTAAACTCCCATTGGCTGCGACGCGTCGTATCGGATGCTTTCGTCACGGAAGCCGCTCGAGGTCAGAATGGATGCACCTCAGAAATAAAATACAAAGAAAAGCACAGCAACGCAATGCTTCGTCACGAAAGCCGTCGTGAAGCCGGCAGGGTTCGCCTTGCCTGCGCAGTGGGGGAGCATGATGTTAATGCCGGAGCGCCGTGTGCGATAGGAAGACGTGGCGCGCTGCTTGTAGGAATGTGCTGCATGTAGGAATGCTTTTGCATTCCTACATGTGAGCAGTCTTTTAAATTTCTCTGCCTATTTTTTTTTTTTTGATTCTGCAGCTAAGTTGCAGTATTTCGGGGGAAGGTGGCACATTTTCTCTCACTTGTGCCAAGATAAACGATATGAAAAATACAAGCTGCGAATTCTTTCAACGTTAAAATCGTTGCACTGCCCCTATGGAGCGTACATACCATAAAATATCCCGAGAAATAACCCACCTAAAATTGAAAGCAACTAGGGTGAAAAATGAAAAGTGGGCTAACTTGTGGTGTGCGATAAAAAAAAATAAAAAAAGTTGGAAAAAATGTTAGTACTAGATTTTGTGGCCTTTGAAACTTATGATTGCAGCAAGGGGCGATGAAGCAAAAGATGACTGTCCTTCCAAGTCAGCAATGTTCGCTTGTCTCCCGCCGTAGGTATGCAACACCATTTTCGCCGAGGTCGCCGCAAGCCAGGGCCCTGCAATCACTAAAAGTGGGCTATCTTTCAGGGGTGGGGCATTTCTCGGGATGTTTCAGTTTTCTGGCGATTTTTGGAGCTCCTCCAACTACCTGTATTTTCTGAATCGGCCTTTACCCTTTCCGTTATGCTTTTTAGTATCGCAAAATTCAAAGTAGGTATTGTGAAATCGGTAAATGAAGGTGATGCCGAAACAAACATTTGAATATGCCCTGTTTTTCAGTTCCGTGACGACGAGGCAGGCAGGCTTGCAGGTCGAGCAGGCAGTCGAAAAAAAAAACGAGTACGCCGAGCATTTGTTTTGTGCAAAGCATTTATTTGACACGGTGAAACTGTTTGTAATCAGTTGGGAGCAAATTCTACAGTCAATAGAGGACCCCTGCCTGCCACAGGCGTCACTTTTTCATTGATGCAAGTAGAGACTTTTGGTTTGAGAAAAACGGTAAGTACCAAAATTGTAAATTCAATAACTTTGCAAACTAACAATTATGTTGGCCTAATATTTGGGTTACTAGTAGTTCAGCTTTTAATCTAACAATCATGCAATGGTTTGAACGATGCTTGCTGTAGCAAAGAAGAAAAAAAGATCTGCTGCCACTGATCTTTTTTCGTAATTCAGTCAGAATGTGTAAACGATACATGCATTCTGGTTTTGTGTTTTTTCAGTGAAGTCTGGGCAGCATCCTCCCAGCCGGCTTTTCTTTGCGGAGGATGACGATGAAGAACACCTCAAGAAAAATTGTTTAATGCAGTGAGGTCAATTTTGGACACATATGTCACACTGGCTGCTTAGATATCTTACATATCTTTTAAATGCCTCGGGGTACTAACTACTTCAGTCATTTATGTTTTATCAATAATTGTGTCTCCTTCACCCCTGTCAATAAAATCAGGGTGTTGAACCGAACCCGAATTGGAAAACGGATCAAAACATATTTTTTACCGAATCAGACCGAAACCATAACCGAAATCAAACATTGGATATCGAACCCAAACTGGAACGAAACCACCGTCTCTTGTGGCAGTTACCAGTTCATTTGAAAATGATTTGGTTGAAGAAAATGTGAGCCACGCCTATTTTTTTTTGCGGGTGGTGGCACGAAGTCGATTTAATATGGGTATTTGTGACTGTGGTGTCAGTGGTACGTTGTTGACTAAACAAACGGCAGTGGCATGGAGACGGCTGAATAAGAATGAAACAAATAAATTAATTTCATGTTTATGTGCAGCATACCATGACCTGGCATTGGCACGGAGACATACGTTTCTATAGCTGACTATGCCAAGAGGCCAAAGAGTTATTCTTTATTTGTTTTGTAGCTGCTAAATGATTTGTTCTCCTGTAGCCAAAACTGAATACACCATTGGGAAGGCGAAGCCTTTAGGGGCACGATACAGGAGCACCAGTGTACCAGTTGCACGGAGCTCTGGATGCTGCTTGGGAAAAAGTTGTTTTTGTGTTTTGTGTTATCTTTCTTCGTCTTGGCCCGGATCAGAAGGTCGAAAGGAGACTACTCACATTGGTAAAAAGAAGATAAAAGGGAGATTTAATACTTAGTGCGAATTGGGGTGGCCACACAGGCTGAGTTTCCATTCTTCTGTCGCCACACAGGCTGAGGTTCCGTGTCGCCACACAGGCTGAGGTTCCGTTCTTTTGTTGCCACACAGGCTGAGGTTCCGTGTCGCCACACAGGCTGAGGTTCCGTTCTTCTGTCGCCACACAGGCTGAGGTTTTCGTTTACCGTCGCCACGCAGGCGTGACGGCGCAGCGAGACGCACGCTGCGCCGTAGGTTGAGAGAGTCTGGTCTGCGGAGACCCCGCCCGGTAACAGCCAGCTCCGCGTAACATGATCCGTGGGAGCGGCCTCGGTGCTCGGTGCCTCGCTCGGACTTCGCACGAAAGTTCTTATATGCGTAGTCGCGCCGCCGGATACTAGCAATATATGTGTCGCTTACTTGTGGGAAAAGTCTACATTCGGCCGTCCTGGAGCCTCAACGTCCTCGTTAAGTTTGAAGACACTCGCAAATATTAAAGTGATAAATGAGCACACACGCAAAGAAAAATTAGTGAACGACTTCACATTAAACTGTCTCGTAGTTTAGCAGGCAGCGTGCGTTTTCTTCTAGGTCTTCTAGCTGCTGGGAGCTCCTCTTGCTCGGGTCCTCAGTACTTGCGTCTTGGGTGCTGGCCGCATCGGTCATGCTCTTCTTGTCACGTGGACCACCAAAACGTTTTTACCTTTCGCATTCGATCCTCTCAAATTCTTGGATATTGTGCAGGAGGTCATCATTGTCGTCGTGGGTTTTTCCCAACAGCATCATACTTAATTGTCTTGAACGCAGGCCCATGATAACTTGCTCCCGAGTATCGCGGAAGTCAAGTCCCGCCTCCTTGCACAAACGAACCTTAGAGTGTAAGTAGGAAGCTGTACTTTCGCTCCGTTGCTGGACGCGATCCTGCATCCTTCTCCAGCGTTCCACTGCACGCGTCTGGCTGACAAAGATTCGGCGAAAATGGTCCTCGAACTCTTCCCACGAGGTGATGTCAGCGCTGCGTGAGCGCAGCCAATCCTTGGCGGCTCCCGTAATGTGGGACTTGGCGCTCTCGAGCAGAAATGATGACGGCCATTTATGAAGCGTTGCTGTTCGCCGCAGGTTCTCCACCCATTCACGAGCTGATGCCGCGTCCTCACTACCGTTAAATTTCGAAATGTTCTTACCCAGGTTGGGCATTACCTGGAATGTCGTCACGCCTTGCGACTCCACCGCCGCTGATGATGCCGTTGCTGTAATCGAAATCAGGCGTTCCAATTAAAGCCCCTCGATGTGTTTGCGCTTGTCTTGCAAGTAGCGTCAAATGCGCGAGTGCACGAGGCCCACGTCTCGAGCAGCCCTTGGAAGCAAATGGCGGCGCAGCACTGAAATGAGCGGGCCATGGAAGCGAATGGCGGCGGAGCATCCGCTCATGGCACGTGTCTCGCGCGCTTCCACAACAATGGTTGGCGGTACTTGTAAAAAACGCTTTTATCAAGGGGCTTTAGTTCCAATAAGTCCTTCAGCAGACGATCTTTTTTCACGATCACGTTAAGGAGTTCACGCACGGAGACTCCTTCGCCTTCATCGGTGGCTTCGGCTGAGCTGGTCGTGTGTGGAAGCTTGTCCTTGTCCATCTTTGACTTAGTCAAGCAACGTGAAGCTCGTGGTCCTTCCGGGCAGTCATCGATCCATATCCCACTTCTGAAATGTTATCTTTCTTCGTCTTGGCCCGGATCAGAAGGTCGAAAGGAGACTACTCACATTGGTAAAAAGAAGATAAAAGGGAGATTTAATACTTAGTGCGAATTGGGGTGGCCACACAGGCTGAGTTTCCGTTCTTCTGTCGCCACACGGGCTGAGGTTCCGTTCTTCTGTCGCCACACAGGCTGAGGTTCCGTGTCACCACACAGGCTGAGGTTCCGTTCTTCTGTCGCCACACAGGCTGAGGTTTTCGTTTACCGTCGCCATGCAGGCATGACGGCGCAGCGAGACGCACGCTGCGCTGTAGGTTGAGAAAGTCTGGTCTGCGGAGACCCCGCCCGGTAACAGCCAGCTCCGCGTAACATGATCCGTGGAAGCGGCCTCGGTGCTCGGTGCCTCGCTCGGACTTCGCACGAAAGTTCTTATACGCGTAGTCGCGCCGCCGAATACTAGCAATATATGTGTCGCTTACTTGTGGGAATAGTCTACATTTGTAAGTGTAGCATGCTGCCCATTCCTTTTCTTCTCCAGTTTTTTTGTTGTTTTTGTTTCAAATCACCCTTTGACTGCTCTTCGTTGTATTTCTATACTTTATTTCACCTTAAGGCCCGTTCACACTCTTGCGACCGAGTACGACTGAGAGAGACCAGACCGGTTTTTAAGCCTCTTGCGATCTCTTAGGACCAGCTCCGCTGCATCGCGTCCGGTCCTAAGAAGTCGCAAAAGGCTTAAAAACCGGTCTGGTCTCTCCCGGTCTTACTCGGTCGCAAGGGTGTGAACGGGCCTTTATGTGTTAGTGAAAAACCCGAACGCATGAGCAAGCAGAAACGCAAAAATCGTTGGCCTCGCACTTCTAGCTTTGCCTTCGCTCGCACATAAGGTGAAACCAAGTATAGTTTTCAACTCTGATTAGAGACGGGTAGTTTCTGAGTATAGTCTGTGATAGTGTCACTGTACATGCTGGCCGATTGAATATGCATGAAAGCACTGTACTTTGGTATTGTTTTTAAGCGCCTGTATGTAATGTGAATAGGATGGTGTTAGTGACCCAGGCGAAAATTTTCAACTGGGACCAGTTGGTCCCAGTTGCAACTGGTTTATGGAACAATTCCCAGTTGCAACTGGTCCCAGTTGGAGTCGTCCAACTGGGACCAGTTGGTCCCAGTTGCAACTGGTTTATGGAACAATTCCCAGTTGCAACTGGTCCCAGTTGGAGTCGTCCAACTGGTCCCAGTTGGAGTTGGTACCAACTCCAGCAACAATGAAACACGGCACAAAATGGAAGGTTGACAAGACTTTATTGTCAAAAACTTGGAGAATGAAACTAAATAGGTTCGGTGACGTACACGCTCCGGGTTTAGCCACTTGCTTGCGACGGTTGAATCGCTTTTTCAGAGGTGGTATTCATGAGATGAAGGAAGATCGGCCGCTGGCGTCTGTTAGTGAAGACGTCCTTAGCTTCTCTTCCCATCGCGTGAAGAAAGGTGCTCACCCGTGATCCTGCGTTGCGCAGGTGAAGTCCTGATAAGATGCGGTAGCGCTCCCACCTTGCAATCTCTGTCACAACAGTCGAACATTTTCGAGGTAGACCTCCCGCCATTTTCGCCATTGTGCTCTCCGCGGCGTGTTCTCTTCCGTCCGGTCTTTCCTGGGTGCCCTCCGATCGCTGAACTGCATCGTTCCATCCTCGAAGTTCACCGCCGCCACCATGGCGTGTGTACGGTTAGGTCCAAAGAAGCGCAGCTGTAGTTTTGACATTTTCATAACGACGCCAACTTGGGCGATGGCGACCCTTCCCTACCGCGTCCGTCCGACTCCGGCGTCAGCATAGGCAGCGCCATCTGTCGACAGCGCGTACCACTAATCCGCACCCGCGTGCCACGGCGGCCGGCTAGCTCTGATTAGTCAAAAGATAAATTTATTTATTAAAAGAAAAAAAATACTGTTGCTATTTAAATAAATGTTTTAATATATTTTAATAATGCACTAAATGTTCATTTAGGTGAACACATTTTGTCACTAATTATATTTTCCAATTAAAAAAATATTTAGTTAATTAAAATTTTTATATTATTTTTATAAATATATAAATGTACCCCAGTAATTAAAAATTCCCTATTTGTATAAATCTAAAAATGTTAGTGTTTTTAGTTTTCTTCATTAGCAAAGGTCAATACACCCCCAACTTGTCCAAATTGTTGCCCAATGTCCGACTGGGAATCGCTCCAACCAGTTACTTTCCTAACTGGTTCCAGTGCACTCCATTCCCAACTGGGAGTCAAACCAGTTGACTCCCAACTGGGAATGGTTCAAACCAGTTGACCCCTCAGCTGGCCCCAGTTGGACTCCCATTGGTCCCAGTTGATTCCCAGTTGGGACCAGTTAGTCCCAGTTGCTTCCCAGTTGGGACCAGTTAGTCCCAGTTGAAACCAGTTGAGGTGCCAACTGGTCCCAGTTAGAAATTTTCGCCTGGGGATAAAAGCCAGATCACAAGACAAGGTTGTAAGCCTATATTCGTTCTGTTGTCCCAGTTATCGTGTCTATGCAGGGCAATGCAGACTCTCTCTTTCCTCAAAATGTTTGCCGTTTGCTGTCCTGAAGAGCATGTACACGATGGCTGGGATTGTGTACAGCCGATCGGTGTACCTTAATGGTGTATTCACACGACAG